AGCTTGCCCTGGGCTCAAAATAAAGGAGATCCCAGTTCTTCATCCCACACGTATGACCCCTGTGCGAAAGGAATTCAGTCCCACGCCAGCTGTGGGAGCAATACAGACACAAGGCGCTCCGTACCCTCCCTTACGGACCACCAACACCTGCCAAACGGAGACAGGGCAGAGCTCCAACCAGCTGCAAAGCTTGGGTAGCCTTGGTCAGGGGGGCCGGCTGGCGCTCAGGTTGGGTTTCTTCTCTAACACAAGCTGACACAATAAAAACAGCACAGCACCGTTTTGCACACCCTCCCCTTTCGAAGTCTCTGCTCTCTGACCCCACGGTAGCTGAAAGGGAGACGCCCAAAGTGTTAACACGGGACAGTCAGCAAGCAGTTAGTTCCTCTTAGCTCAGCCTCCAGCTCCCTTTTCATTAGGAGTTGTGTCTTGAATAGGGACTTTGCTTTCAAAGGGAAGGGAATCGATTGGTCTCGTACCGGTTGACTTTGCTCAAACAGCATGTGCCAGGCAGCAGGGATAATAATGCAGACGCTGCAAAGAGTGAAGTGAGCTCAACTCCCGTATCCCCCCACCACCACCGCTTCCCCTTCCCCTCGTGCTGGTTAACGACTTCCAAGTATAACAGCCTGCCCTTCCTCTTTGCAGCACCCCTCGTGGACTCCAGCACTGGGCACAGCAGCTCGGCCATGCTGATGTTGTTATCCGTCGTCTTTGTCGGCTTGGCTGTTTTTTTAATCTACAAATTTAAAAGGTACGTCGAGGACGTGTCGGTGCATGCCAGCTGTTTCCTAGAAAGCCCAAAATATGGTGCATACAGTTAGTGGGGAGCTGGTTGTGGACGTGCATTAGGGAATTGGGGGCCAGAACATCAGCTGGGGGCAAAGCGGTCCTCAGAGGAGCTTTGTCGGGTTGGAGCAGCAGGGAGATGTCGTTTGCTGATGCTCTCAATTGCAAACCCCACCTCCATGCTGGAAACCATTTACTGGTGGCTTGCAGTGGACTGACTAAGCTGTGACATTTCCAGTGCCACTCCCGCTTCCCCACGCAGGGAGCATTTGCGGCGCAGCCCTCTGTGACCCGGTGTTTCTGGGGGATGACTTGCATCATGGGGCGAGGAAGGGGGGGGGCAGAAATTAGCTTGAAATCTTTTGGGCTGGATTCTGAGTTGCTTCGGGTCATCTTTTCAATGGGTGGAAAGCCAGTTAAAAGGAGGATATTAGCATGAGGATTTCCCACCTGATTTGCACCGGCTGGGAGTGTATTTGGTTTGTTGAGGGCCTAGCTTTATCTGATAGGGACCGGATCGGGAGTGGGGTCCGGAGGGGTTGCCCCGCAGCCCGCAGGAGGAATGGGAGCATCCGTTCCTGTGGATGCTTTTGGACGAAACGTCTCTTGCCTGGTTGCCCCTGGATACAGGCAGCTGGACTCGATAATGCAGGCAGTCCCTCCCAAACCCGTGCATTTCCCACTGCTGCACAGTCCCCAGAGACTGTATTTTCATCTCCGCTTGTTGCTCGGCCAAGCCGCCGATGTGACGGTGCACCCCTCTTATGCAGGCGAAGGCCACCTCACCCCTCCCATGCAGCGTCCCCATGCACGCAGTATATGAAGCTGCACACACCGGTTGCTTGGTGCTTGGGGGCTTCCCGGTCAGATTTGCCGAGCTGCCAAAGCATCGGATGATTTTCTTTCCTCCTGGACGTGCTTCTGCGGCCCTGAAAAGCAAGTTGCATCAGCACCAGAGAAGAGTTTGAACCAGAACCCTGCACTAAACCTCCCCACCCCCCGATAGCTGAGAGGGGTTTGTTATAAAAAAAACCCCCAAACATGCTCAGCCCTTGGATCATTATGTCTCCATAGAAACTGCGGGATCCATATCTGCCTCCTGCAGCTCAGCGGGGAGTTTACAGGAGCAGCGAGGTCTCGGTGGGGGCATGTGATGGGAGCAGGAGGCACCAGGAGCAGGACTTGGTGGTTTAAGCTAAGCAAGAAGGCGCTTTGATGCGA